TAGAAGATGCTACAAACTCCTGATCTCATAATAGTTCCTAAATATTTTGCAGGTGCTGGGATTCACCCCTATGGAGCATCCTGAAGGATGGGGACTTTTTGACTTGTGTAACTGCTAGGATGCAGACAAAACCCTATTGCTCCTTTCATGTTACTGAAACATACTTTCTCATTAGAAGTGAATGACTTGATACTACCAACCCATGTTAGTTTAGAGCTATAACATGTGAAAGTTTGCTGTCTCAGAAACATGAATAGAGATCCAGGACAGTTCTTCTAGCTGTACAATAGACATGAAAAGACTTTTTGCCTCAAGTGTTGTGCAACAATGTCTGAAGTACTTTGAAATCCTCATGCATAAGAAACTACAAGGTAAATGTGAAATAATAAGGAAAATAATAAGGCAATTCTGATTTCTGAGCAAAAAGCATGATGATGATCCGGGTGTCCCGGGGGGATGAACCAAGCCCCAGTGTCACGATGGGCCAGGGTGGCAATTGAACACGAAATAGGCGGGATTCTTGGCGATGGAGTACTGAGCGGCTCGGAAGCGTAATGGTTTCTTAAACAAGGTGGTTTATTTGACTTACGCTTTTTAGGCGTAGGCAACGTAATTCTTCAGTTACAGTGGTGCGATGGTACGAACAAACAACAACACAGGGGTCCGTTGGTCCACAGGGTTCTTGAGCCAAGCCCTTGCTATCTAACTCGGAGGCTAGGGGCGGCTGCCCGGCTCAATAGTCCTAGGACTGGTCAACGGCTCATAAAAGGAGTGAACTAACACACAGTACAACAAACTGTAACTCGTCGAGGATGGCCAGGTGTGACGCCAGTCCCGAAGGACGATCGGATAGCTGAGGTGATTTCCGAGGTCGAAGGCCAGGTAAGTCGTCGTCAGTGTGTTGAGGGTGATCCAAAAACGAAGACAGAGTCCAAGCCAGAACCGTCCAGTAACCAGAGAATCAATCAATGCAGACAGACCGAGGTAGGAAAAGCAGCCAGAGCCCACGCTGGAGGAGACCTAACTGAGGGACAGTCCCTACAAAGTAGCCTCTGTCCTCAGTAAGCGGATCTCCCCCCGAGGGAGGGGCTCCTTAACCTTTTATAACAATTTGGTGGCCAATTAGAATGTGTCCCTCAAAGAACTTTCTAGCTGAATGACTTCATGCTCTTAGCTGACTGAGCATGTGGTGAGCCTGACCTCTCCGCTGTTACCAAGCATGCGCAGGGCTGAAAAGTAGGTCAGCCTGACTGACAGCTCTTGGGGTCGCCCAGGGGACACATGCTGGGTGAGTCCAATGGAAAATTCCATGAGCCTGTCTTGCGCATGTCAGTTCCAGTTCTCTCTGCATTGGCAGCATTCAATCAAAACTTTACTTCAACACCGGGCAGGGACTAAAATGTTGCCTCATGTTTATGGGGCCAAAATATTTACGATACTACCATAAGTGCTTAAAACTGTGCATGCTGACTTTCAAATAGATACCTGAAGGCAATAAAAATGTCACCTAGAATCAGGGTTATATTTGCATCTCCATGCACCAGCTTCCTTTTTAGTTTTTTAAATGGGAAGTGGAGCTAGCAAGGGGAGGACTCGGTGGAGGGGTAGCCTGCTGTTGGATGGATTTCTAGAAGAGATTGGACAAGTCAAGTGTGACCACTTTATCATCATGCTGCAAGACCTTTTCCTTTGATAGTCTTTCAGTAATAAGGTTTATAGCAGCAATTGTCTTTCCTCTACTCCTCAAAGCAGAAACTACATTTAGGAGAGTTCTTGATGGCTGGGAAAGGGGAGAACGGACCGCTGTGCCACTAACAAAAATGAGGCACTTGTGTTCTACATTGGTGAGCCCTTGTACAAGATCTTAAGATAAAGTAGAACACACTGAGCCAAATTCCATACTGCAGCTCTTAGATACAGCTTAGGAGGCATAACATAAGGAGAAGAGAAGACAATGGTGGTGAAGTTGGGGGAATGTGAGAGTTAGCATGATTCCAGGGGCAGATCCAGAAGGATGCAGTGGTGCGAGTGCACCTTCCCTTTCAGTTGATGCCATGGCAGAAGCAGCAACTGAGGCTTTTATTTTTTTTTTAAGTTCTTGAATTGGGCAAGAAATTCCCCCGTCTTCAGCTCCATGCTCAGGGGCACCTCCCCTCCCCTCTGGCTGCTGCTGTCCCAAGCTGGGGCAGGAGAGGCTCTAGAACTGTTCCTACTCATTCAAGCTGGGCTTCATGGGAAGCCAGGTTCAGCCAGAGAGAGATCAGCTTGGGAGGGTTCCTTCTCCCTGCCTGCTCCCCTCCCTGTGTTTCCTGCCACTGTGGGAGAAGGCACAGGGGAAGGGAACTTGCTTGCTCCTGCTGTCTCTAGCCAAGCCTGGCTCCATGTGCAATCTGGCTGGAGCAAGTTAGGAGAGGCTCTGGTCAGCTGGGACAGTGGGGATAGTTGCAGGGGAGCGGAGAGTAGGGAATATGTTGCTAAGCATGGAAGGGAAGGGAGTGGGGTAAGGGGAGATTGTACCACAGAAGCAGCAGCCAGGGTCTTTTTTCAAGGTGCACGGTAAGGTAAAAATCTGCCTGCTGCGGTGGAGGGAGGAGCAGGTGGGGGTGCAGTCATACCCACAGTGCCAGTCACTGATCCCACACTCCCTTCTTAAAAATCTTGGATCTGCCTATGCATGGTTCCTAATTTAATCTAGAGCAGTTTCAGAACATATTCTAATTTATGGCAACCCTCCCACAGTTTGTGAACTGCTTCACAGTCCAGAATAGTTGGAGTCTAATTCTCTTGTGCTCCTATTTCTCCCCACCAACATGTCACTCCTATACTGTGTCCCCATTAAAAAAAAAAAATCTCTGGCCTTCGGTATGAAAGCATTGCAGCGAGAAGGCAGCACTTCATCAGTCAAGTTTGCCTTTTCCATCTGTGGCCAGTGTAGGCATCAAATTGTATGGCTGAGCAAATATTTATGCATGTCTGCAGTGAGGTTTCTGTTTGTACCTGAGACAAACCAAACTTATTTAAGTGGAGTTACATCAAGGACGGGTTTGGCCTTACAGCTCCAGTTGACTCAGTCAGTTTCAACACGGACCTTCTTCATGAACAGTCATTCACTTTTTAGCTGTAATCTGAAAGCATTTTTTCTCCATTCCACTCCTGAACAATTACTAATGTAAGCCTCATTTCTAAAGTTGTATCAATAGAAAGTTCAAGAAGAGTCAACACAGAATGTTTGAATGATGTCAAGGCAAGGGAACAATATTTTCCGTCTCTCTTCTTACTTTGTTGATCTGCTGCATCTTTCATCATGTCTTAAGAATATATTGATGATAGGAGCATGCTTGGAATAACTGACTTTTTGGTTTTGCTTTGACATTCATTACCTTGTATGGTTCTCTGCAGTGAATAGTCACTCTTATTTCTCCACCAGAATTTAAATGCTACAATATTTGCTCAATATTACACTCTAGTTACAAAATTGATGAAATGACTATTGTTTGTATGTTTATCCTATTTCTGTCTCATAATGTTATTTACACTTTTGCCATTTTAAAGAACATAAGCAGTGCCACACTACTGGGTCAGACCAATAGTCTGTGTAGCCCACTAGACTGTGGCAATAGTAGATTCTTTAGAGGGAGAGCATATGAACAGAGCATATCTAGAGGGATCAGTCCCCTGTTACATCCTCTCTGGGTATCCATCATCATTGGTTTAGGGATGCCAGAGGATCCTTGATTGTTTTGTTGAATACCTATTAATGGATCTGTCCTACCTGAATCTGTCTAATCCTTTTTGAACCTGGCTATGCTATGTGCCTCTTCAACATCTTGGGGTAATGAGTTTCACAAATTAAATATGTACTGCACAAACAAGTAGTTAATTTTGTTTGTTTGCAGCCTGTCCTGCTAATTTCAGTAGATGTCCTCAAGATTTAGTACTCTGGGATTTGGTGAATAACAGTTTACTTTACCTACATCTGTCATGATTTATAGACCTCTTCATATCCTCCCACCCACAGTCTTCTTCTTTCTAAACTGAAGTCCTGAAGAGCCTTTTAAGTTTCTCAAGATACAGGAATTGCTCCATACTTCCAGTCGTTAGTTGGCCTTCTCCATACCTTTTCTCTTTCTACTACATCCTTTTTGAGACGTGGAGACAGACAGACCTACACACAGTACTCAAGATGTACATGCATTATGGAGTTATGTAATGGCATGATGATATTTTCCATTGTTTGTTTTCAGTTCCTCTCTTAAGGATGCCCAACTTTTTATTGGCTTTTCTGGTCACTGTTACACATTGAGCTGATGTTTTTGGAAAACTATCTACAATGACTCCAAGGTCCCTGGAGTCCTTTATGTTGACAGGTTATGTTGGCATGCTATATTTACATTGGATATTTCTAATGACAGGTTTCTCTGTAAAATACCCTGAGATTCAAGTATTATTGGGAAAACTGAGGCAGAAATGTTGAGTAACTTGCCTAAAATCACATGGTAGGTAGGTGGCAAAGGAGGGGTCTTTCTTTGGGTTAGTGACCTGTCTAATGGCAGATATCAACCCTCTTCTTATATATATTTTTAAAGAATTAATCTCATTTTTCTTGGAGATTTATATCCCAATTGGTGTAAATCATATTTGAGCATCTGAATCTACTGTATTTTCCCTCTAAATACTTTAAAAATGAAGTGTTTAAGGAGTGAAAATCTGATGCCGTTGATTTTGATAAGAATTGGATTTGGCTTAGTTTTGTAACACTGATTTATTATGCAAAATGAAGCCACGGTCCCATGTCTTTTCATTTGCACATTTCCCTAGTAGATGGACCAGTCAGTTATTCCACAGCCTTGCTAGACAATAGCAAGCAGCTTTTATAAGCTGTGCTCTAATCTATGCCATGGACGCAAGTGAATCTCACCTTCTATTTTTAACAGCACAATCATATTTGTAAACCTCACTGAAACATGCTCAAGAAAGCAAAAAAGCACTAGAACTGCAGCTCAGTTTTCCAGTCCTGCTTTGCCCTCAGGAACTTAATGAACATGTACAGGAAAGACTTAGAAATTAGACAGTCTGGTGGCATTACTAAACATATACAGCATCTTAAATCCAAACACAAGGCATAAACTTCTAAGAATGCACTGCTGCAGGCACCATGCACAGAGAGGTCAGCCTGTGTTCATAACAGGCTATCCCTCTGTGTGTATTATAATGCTCTCCCTGTTTTGTTCTGTTTTTTGCATGCAAGTGAAGAGTCCTGAACCTTGGGGCGATGCTGTCTCAGGGTAGGGACCATGGAGGCAATTTGGCAGGCAATGCTCATTTCCTGTGAGAAAGAGAGGAGAGATGTATTCTTCTGAATGACTGAATTTGAAGTGGTGGTTGTTCCCTTGCACATGAATGCATCCCATTCTCTTCAATGTGGGGAGGATAGTGGTGCATAGATGCAGCACTGGAGAAGCCTCCCACAGAAACACAGGAATTGACCTGCTGTATCAGACCCAAAGTTCTCTGTCTGGGGCCGGGGGCCGGTACCAGCTCCTTCAGAGGAAGGAACGAGGGGCTCTGTAGGAGGTAGATATTGGGGCGGCCTGCCCTCCTCCTCAGTCCTAGGGATGCGTCTGTGTTGGCTGGAAAGAAATAGAAAGATGAAGGATGGGTTCTTTTTCCTTCTCAATCCCATTCCCTCCACCTCCTCCTCCCCTAAAATCTTCTGTTTATCAGAATGAGGGGGCACTGACAAAGTGGTACGGGGCGGTGTCCTGCCTTTCTCCTCTGTCAGTCTAACACCTGTGTGGTGTGTGCGTGTCCATCCTCTGCATGTATTCATCCTGTGTGCGCGTGGCCATGCTGTGTGCATGTCCGTCTTGTGTGCCCATCCTGTGTGTGTGCATGTCCATCGTGTGTGTGTGTGTGTCCATGCTGTGTGTGTCCATCTTGTGTGTTCATGTCCATCCTGTGCATGCGAGTGTGTGTCTGTCTGCTGTGTGCGTGTCCATCCCCTGTGTGTGGTGGGGGCACCTGGCATCTCCACACACTCCTGGGCAGGCAGCCCCCCCTCCCCCCCCGGGCGGCAGAGCGCGGGAGGCGGTGGTAGGCCCCGCTCCGCCCTCTGCCGTCATCTGCACCTTCTCCTGCCCGTCTTCCTTGCCGGGGCGGGCTGTGGTCCCGGCGGTTTGTCCCCCGCCTACCCCAGCC